AGGGACACTGTGCTTCTAACTAACAGATCACCAGGGACACTGCACTGCTGACAGATCACCAGGGGCACTGCACTGCTGACAGATCACCAGGGACATTGCAACCAGAAGCTCACGGCTGAAGCAGTTAGGAAAGTTTATACGCACATGGCAGAACAGCAGTCGTCATCCTCACTGTTGTTGTTTTTTCAAATCTCTCCAAGTTTGTCTACAATGGTTGCAAGGCTGCACACAGCTTCTGTCGGGATCTAGAGGGAGGCCCCGGTCTAAGTCTGTGGTCTAGAACATTTTGATGGGGTTAGTGCCCTCACCCCTCCTTCAAGGACTCCATTTCCTCTTGACTACAAACTCGTCTTTTGTTAGTTGGTTTGCTTGCTGCTGCTGCTTCTCTTTCTTCTGGGGAGCAATCAGCCTTGCTTGTGCTGGCAGTCGCTTTGACCCCGGCCCCTAACCGCTATCTTAAGTCATTTTAATCCTATCTTCTTCTGGTTGAAAAGACAAACACGATGAAAGTTGCGAAGTCCTGCTTCCTCTTGGTCATCTGTTGCTGTTACACCATCCGCCCCAAGCTCTGGGTCAGTCTCTTCCTTCTTCCAAATATAGTTGTGGCCTTTTTGCTGCTGGTAACCTGTTTTGTAATCTCTGCTCAGTGCACTTGCAGCCAACCTAATAGTGTCCATACGGTTATAGCAGCCTTCTGACTTTTCTAAACAAAACAAAACTTCTTCACACGTGTGTGTGTGTGTGTGTGTGTGTGTGTGTGTGTGTGTGTGTGTGTCATGTGCACGCGTGGAGGTCAGACAACCTGTAGAGCCCCCCTTCTGCCCCCCAGAGTCCAGCTATTGAGCCCAGGTCATCAGGCTTGTCCTCCAGTGCCTTCACCTGCTGAACCTCCTCTCCGGCCCCCTCTTCCTTTTCAGGCAAGGTCTGGCCACACAGGCCAGGCTGGCCTTGAACTTGTGATCCTCCTGCTTCTTCTTCAACAGTGCTGGGATTGTAGGTGGGTGCCATTATGCCCAGCCTCTTTTTGATCAGAGGATTTCCTGTCTGCTCCTTTAATCCCTTTAAGTCTTCTTCCTGTGGCATCTCCATCAATGACCAAAAGGAAAGAGAGAAAGATGTTTTGTTTTTCTCATTAGTCTTGAAACTTATGTACATATACATTTCCTGTACATGTAAATTTATATAACTATATATCTATACACATTCAGTATAGGAACAGGGTAGGTGGCTAGTGCGTGCATTGCATTTGCATGATTAGCTTAGTGACCTTTGATTGATTTAGTATCCCAGTCGTCACAGACACTCTGCTTTACTCTACATTAATACACAGCTACACCCTTTCTCCAGTATTGAGTTCAGTTATCTGTTACTGGGCGAAACCCCACCAGAAAGCCCGTGTGCTGGTGCATGGCTGAGTTCTGGCACTGGGGAGGCTGAGGCAAGAAGGGTGCAAGTTTGTGCATAGCCTGGGCTACCTAGGGAAATCCATCTCAAAAACCAACACACCAATGCATGCCTTTAATGTCAGCACTCCATAGGCTGAGGCAGGGGGATACCGTGTTTAAAGACTGTGGCTGTGTGGTCTATACAGAAAGATGTTGTTGTGAACAAACAAAAGCAGAAACAAACCAAACAAAACCCCCACATTTCATGGCATAAATCAATACTTGGTGGGGTTTTGTTGGTTTGTTTTTTATGCTCCTTGGTTCTTGAGTGTAGTTTAGAAAGTGCAGAGACAAAACTGCACTCTGCTCCCCCCCTCAGCCTCATCTGGAACCACTGAAGCCCAGAGTAAGAGTAGGAACGCCACAGCGGGTGGGGGGGTAGGGTGGACGGACACGAACACGGACACACGAACGACCCGCTTCCCAGCCGGCTTTCTCACTCCCAGCCTGTGCCCTGGGTGGCTGAAGGGTGGGACTGTCGGCCACAGAGCTGGGAAGGGTCCTGCCTGATGGCTGTGTCGGCTGCTGCCCAGTGGCTCCGGTGACTTTCTTTTCCCTGTTCTCTTCCTCCACTCCCTCCTCTTTCTGATACATTGTCTGGCTGTATGTCCCAAACCGGACTAGAACTCACTACATAGCCCAGGCCAGCCTCATACTTACGATCCTCCCGCTTTCTCCTGAGGGTGGGGAGTCAGGCCCGTGGACCAGGCTCAGCTTAGCTGTGTTTCTTCTGTGAGCATTCCAGACTCCAGCAATGAGTTTGCAGTGAGCAAGGTGAGGACTGCTTGCAATCTTCCCATCCAGCCTTGAGAGCCCCATGACACCCTTTCCACCACATGCTATCCAGGGACAGTCATAACCAGCTCAGGTTCAAGGGATGACCTTAGACCTCTTGATGGGGAGGGGAACAAAAAAAAATTACAGACCAGAATTTTCCAGCCCACCCACCGAATTGAAAGCTGAATAAAATAGCTATTGCTTTAAGTCATAAAAATCATGACCATATTTTGATCGCCACAGCTTTACAAACAATTTGTCATGAAGAGGAAGGATGGATCATTGAAAGGCCTCCAAGTTATTTGTCAGGTGTTTTTCTTTCCGACCACCTGCTTCTTTTGATAACTAAGACTCTGCGGCCCAGGCTGGCCTCAGACTTGACGTCCTCCTGACTCAGACTCCCAAGTGCTAGAACTATATGCACGTGCCCTGACAAACATCTTTTGTTTTGTTCTTTTGAGGCAGGGTCTCTCTACATAGCTGTCCTGGGACTCATTGTATAGACCAGGCTGGCCTTGAACTCACAGAGATCCACCTGCCTCTGCTTCCCGAGTGCTGGGAGTAAAGGTGTGTACATCTGGTTTAAAATTTCTTTTTATAAAGAAACAGAGAGCTGGGTGGTGGTAGCACACTCCTTTAATAAATACAGTCTTTGCCTACTATGTGCAAGGCCTACACTGTAACTGTTTATTATTGTATTTCATGGGTACAGTTGTTTGGCCTGTGTGTATATGTGTGTACTATGTGCTAGTCTGTGGAGGCCTGAAAATGGCATGCGGTCCCCTGGAACTGGAGTTACAAATGTTTGTGAGCCACCATGTGGTGCTCGGAACCAAACCTGGGTCCCCTGAGAGGGCAGCCAGCGCTTTGAACTACTGAGCCGTCGCTCCAGACCTGATAATTCTCCTTCCCTTTCCTTTTTTTGCACAGGGTCTCACTATGTAGCCTCAAACTCACAATGATTCTCCTGCTTCAGGCCCCCACCTGCTATTACTACAGCTGGGAGTCACCACACTCAGCTGACGTTCCATGGCTCTCAAAAGCATGTCTCTCTTTCTTCTTTTTTCTTCTGTGCAGCCCTGGCTGCCCTGGAACTCACTGTAGACCAGGCTGGCCTTGAACTCAGAGATTCACCTGTCTCTCCTTCTCGAGTGCTGGGATTAAGGGCGTGTGCCACCATGGCCTGGCTTATTTTTATTTGTGAGTTTTGTGAAGGTAAAAATGTACGTTAGAAATCTGTGTGGTTTAGATGAAAACTGGGGCTCCCCAGACAGCTATTTCCTGTTCTCTAGAAGAGGCTGGTTCAGCCCCTTCAGCTTATCCTTCTGTCATTAGTCCTGGGGCCTCCTGCTGCACTGTTGTTGTTCAGTTTGGGGGATTATCTGATCTGTGCGCGTGCGTGCGTGCGTGCGTGCGTGCGTGCGTGCGTGCGTGCGTGTGTGTGTGTGTGTGTGTGTGTGTGTGTGTGTAGTGGTTCCACCTAGGCCCTTGTGTGCATTCATCTTCATGTGAAAGTTCAGTGTGTGACTCTTTGCTCCTCTACCATACACACCTATTCAGTACACACTCACACTGTGTCTGCTTTTCCCCAGGGCTCCTCTACCATACACATCTATTCAGTACACACTCACACTGTGTCTGCTTTCCCCCAGGGCTCCTCTACCATACACATCTATTCAGCACACACTCACACTGTGTCTGCTTTTCCCCAGGGCTCCTCTACCATACACATCTATTCAGCACACACTCACACTGTGTCTGCTTTTCCCCAGGCACTAGGCTACTTTGTATGCTCTGGAACTCTGTCCTCTGGCATGACAAAGCTGTTGCCATGTTCAAATCAGAGAACCTGTGGATACCTGCACCGGGCTCTTCCGGGAGTGGGAACACTCCTTTATAGGAGGGAACAGGGTTGGTGAGGCTCCCTGGGCTCAAGGGCACAGGAGGCTCCTGAGGCTCAAGAGGCCCCTCCCTCCCTGATGGTATGTAATCCGTTAGCAGTTGCCAGGGAAGCTGGGACTCGTCTCTGGTAATGTAGCTGCCCGTGATTTGGTGTGTTACTCTATAACCATTGGCCCATCCAGCTCAGACTTGAGACATTTCCTGGACTGTGGTTGCCCCAGCTGGGGTAAATAGAAAACAGTACCCCAGGAGAAGTCACACCGGGGCAGGATCGGGCAAAAGTGACTTTGGGAGGAGCAGCTGCCTTGGCCCCGCTCTGGGTGGCATAAGATGGGCACCCGGAACTGTGCTGCCTGAGGGAAGGATGTCTGTGGGGACAGTCTCCGTGGGGACAGTCTCCGTGGGGACAGTCTCCGTGGGGACAGTCTCCGTGGGGCTGTGCTTCCACACTTGGTCTGGAATGGCTTGTCTTCTTGGTGTGGTGGCAAGTGCTCTGCTCTGGGTGGTGAGGCCTGCAACCAAGGCTGCTCCTCTGAAGGAGGAGACATGTACGTGGGGATCCTAAGGCAGCCACCTTGCCTGTGTACAGGGAGCCATGCCTCCTTGATGAAAGAAATCTTTCCTGGAGTATGGGGATGTTCCCAACGTTGCTGATGGACTAAGAACATTTCACAGTGGCTGAAAGTAGCATCAGTGGGGCGGGATCTCAGGTAGACTGTGAGGGCCAGGAGTCATTAGACACGCGGCTAAGGCACTGTGTAAGCCAATGAGAACGAGACATGCAGCACTAGCCTTGACTTGGAAGGAAAAGTGGAAGATGGCAAAGAACCAGACAACTAGGAGGGAGGAAACAAGGTAGAAGTGATAGAAGACACCCTTCAGGTCCAATCCTCAGCACAGAGGAAGGGAAAATCCAGACAGACAGACAGAAGCCCCAGTCATGGTCCAGCACAGGAACTGGTACTTGGGGACACTCAGCCTCCTAACTGCCTGAGTTGGGAAAGACTTGAAACACAATTGAAAGAGCATCACGGTTTGGCTCATGAGGCGGCAGGACGCGATGGAGGTGGGAGGGGCCGGAGAGCCGTCAAAGTGGACAGAACACATAGCACAATCTCCCCATGCTGAGACGAAGACTCCATCTTCTGAGACAACGTGGAAAGTCAGTCCCTGAGCTTATACCTGTCATTAGGAACACTTGGTCATCACTGGCTGGGGTCGATATAAATACGAGGGGCTGGAAAACAGCGGAGAAAGAACAGAAATTACTGGGCAAACTGGGCATGCCAGGGCAGCATTTGAATTAGTCCTCCACCTTTGTTTGTTCTGTTTGGAGACAGGGTCTAGATACGTAGACCAGGCTGGCCTGGAACTCCCAAGTGCTAGGACTAAAGGCGTGCGCCACCACCTCTGGCTAATCAGTTACTTTTCTGTTGCTCTGAGAACATCATGACCAAAGCAGCTTATTTAAGAAAGAGTTTATTTGACTTTCAGTTCCGGAGGGTTAAGGGTCCGTCATGGTGGTGAGGCATGAGGCATGCAGGAGCAGGGATCTGAGCACGCACAGGATCTTATAGTTCTTTCCCTGGGTCTGTTTCACTCACGATGTTGGGTGATTCCATCCCAACCACCAGTTCGAAGCAGAAAGAGCCAACTGGAAGTAGGGCAGAGCCTTAAGTGCTCAAGCCCACCCCCAGTGACACACCTCCTCCAGAGGCCACACCTCCTCCAGAGGCCACACCTCCTCCAGAGGCCACACCTCCTCCAGAGGCCACACCTCCTCCAGAGAGGCCACACCTCCTCCAGAGAGGCCACACCTCCTCCAGCAAGGCCACACCTCCTCCAGAGAGGCCACACCTCCTCCAGCAAGGCC